AAGACAGATGCTTAAGCCACTGAGCTCTTTCGCCAGCCCCTTTTTATCCACGCAGAATATTATCGGAAGTATGTTTCTCGGGGCTGGGGAGATGGGTCAGTAGAATAAGTGCTTTCCTGTTAAAAAAAAAAAAAAGGGACCTTTCTCTCACTAGACATTCCTCTACATCACTAGCTCTGAGTATGGTTTGGGGACACCCTGAGGTCCTCAAGACCCATTCAGAGTCCAAAATGCCTTCATAATAACACTCAGATAGTGTCTGCTTCTCAGTCCTCTCACCGGTGAATAGGGAGGCTTCCTGACACTGCAAGATGTGATGTCCCCAAAGCTGCAGCAGAAGCCGACTCGAGAATCGGCGGTCTTCCATTAAGCCATGGGAGTATTAAGGGATTTACACAAGCATAAAGTAGCCAGGTATGACGGTGAACGGCTGTAATCTCAGCAGTCTGGGAGGCTGAGGCAGGAGGATTACGAGTTCAAGCCCCGCCTGGGCAAAGGAGAGACTTTGTAAGATCCCACAGGACTATGAATGTAGCTCAGTGCGAAGGCCCTTGGTTCAATCCCCAAGTACCAAAGGCAGGCAAAAAAAGCACGAAATAATGCCATTCTTCTCTCTCTCTCTCTCTCTCTCTCTCTCTCTCTCTTTTGTTTTAGAAACTGTAGTTATTATTCAAAAATATACATTTCTTGGAGAACACGAAATGGATTTATCATTTCAAGTGATTGAATAAATTTACTTTTTGACTCAATTTTTAAGATTCATTTTTATTTTAAACATGCTAAATGTTGATAGCTCTGGCCCCTATACACAAAGGTCCTTAGATCTTTAATAGGCTTGAGAGGGCAGGGCTGGGGCAATAGCTTGGCCGTCTAATTGCCTGCCTGGCAAGTGCAAGGACCTGGGTTCAACCCCTGGCACTGCATGCCAAGCTACCCTCAAAACTGGGTGTGGTGGCACATTCTTGTAATCCCAGCACTGGGGAGGCTGAGACAGGAGGATCACTATGAGTTTGTTGTAATCCCCTGCACCAAATGAATAAATAAAAATTTATTTATTTATTTTTTTAAATTTTTTAAAATTTTTATTTATGTGTGTGTGTATGTGTGTGTGTGTGTGTGTGTGTGTGTGTGTGGCCAGCTCAGCCCACCAGGGGGCGGGGCTGGCTGGCATGTGGTGCTGGGGGATTGAACCCACGGTCCCTGTGCTTTGCCTAGCTTGTTCTAAGTAGGTGCTTTAGACCACTGAGCCATCTCACCAGCCCAAATAAATAAAAATTTAAAAAAATAGAATTAAGAGGGTAAAGCGAGGCTGAGACTGGTGGTTTGGGGGCACCTGCTCCACAAGGACAGTTTGAATGACTACATATACCCTCTGTGGGTGTCCCCTAACTCATCTGATCACCCCCAAATGGTGGACTCATGCTGGTCTCTAACTTTTCATTGCTATAAAATAGCTGCACAACTCACTGACTTCTATAAACTTCTTGCCATGAGAGAAAAAAATAAGCTAGTGGTGTAGGGGGCATCAGTTTCAATCAATTTTCAGTGAATCACATTACACAAACTGTGTCAAGGAATGTAAGTTGAAAAAAGGACACAGGAAATACGCACGTTCGCATAAATCCCATTTTTACAGAGGGACTGGTCCCCTGTAAGGGGTACTTTCTTTTCTGCCACCTGGGAAGTGCTCACAAAATCCCCTTATATTCCATGTTGGGGTTACTGACGATGCTCTATTCTTTGGTTGCCCTTATAGGAATTGGGAGGGTTGGAATCTTAAGGCATTTGATTTCTGTTTTTATTTATTTTTCATTTTTTTATGTATTTAGTACAAGGTATCCAAGGTCTATAGGGTCTCACTATGTAGATCAGACTCCTAGCGATCTGCCTGTTTTCAGCCTCCTAAGTGCTGGGATTAGAGGTGCATGCCACCACGCCCAGTCTCAATTGCCATCTCAGCAAGCCCTGGGGGCGGGGCCAGCATGACAGGCTGGGCATCGAAGCCGGGCTGCTGAGTTCTGCCTAAGCAGGCGCTTTAGTCCACTGAGCTATCTGGCTGGCCGTGATTGCTGTTCTTTAAAATATATAATTTTAGGGAGGGGGAGATGGTAAGTACCTGCCTGGCAAGCGCAAGGTCCTAAATTTGATCCCTGGTACTAAAAATATATATATATAATTTTAAAAAGGTTTGTTTTTAAAAAGTCAAGTACTAGGAATTTCTGCACATTTTATTTGACAGTGCCTTGCTATGTAGCTCAAGCTGGTCTTGAACACACAATCTGCCTCAGCCGCCCAAGCACTGGAATTACACCATCACACCCCACAAACTGCAGCTTTATATAGACTTGAGAATAGCTCTATTTAAGACTTCAGAAGTAGAATGGCCCAGCTGCTGGGCATCTTAGTTTTTCTTCCTTCCAATGCTGGGGGTTGAACCCCGGTCTCCCACATGCTAGGCAAGTGCTCTGCCATTCAGCTGTAATCCCAGGCTCTATAGTGTACCCTTGCTTGTTAGCTGATGTCACCCTGTCACCTCATTTCCATGTTACCAAGAGTATATTGGAGCCCTGTGCTCTCTGTCTGTCTGTCTCTCTCTCTCTTTCTCTCTTTGCAATACTGAAGATTATTACCCTTATATTTTTTCTGATTAGTTAGGTTAAGCAATATATTTGCTTTCCTGTGCAATGCTTATGTATCTTTTGTCCACAGGGGAAGGTCTTATTGGCCCTTCTGGAACGCTTTCGCATTCTGCGTATAAACCTTCCACCTGCTACTTAGACCAAATGTTTTCCCCGAGCATGCTGCTCGCCCTTGCATTTCATTTAGGCGCCGTATTCTAGGATGGGACCTGAGTGGGAAAACTTTATGCTACTCCGTTAATTATTTCCTCAATGCGAGAGTCTTGTCTTGGTTTACAAGCCTTCCCAGACTGCTGTGATTTTTAAAATGCTCTCCATTTTTCTCTAATACACTAGCAGGTTTTCTTTTGCTTAGATCTTTAATCCATCTTGGCTTAGTTTTGTTCTGAGATAAGGCTTTAGGCTCAGGAGGAGAGGTGAACTGCATTTCAGAAGTTCAGTGTGGGGCTGACAACTGCCCCGAGGAAGTGACAAGGCACCCCTTTTTGTATGGCTCTGAGGTGCCTCTCACACCCCTTCTGTCTTGAGGCCACTGCGGCAGGTGCAGCCAGAGGAGCAGAGGCCAGAGACACTGAGTGACAAGCCCGAGGTTCCAGAGCAGTGCCGGTGGGGTACAATCCAGACATCCTGCCTGCAGGTCAGACCTCTCTACTTGTCAGGCTCTGTCCTCTGGGTCACATCGCTGTCCCTTTGGGGGGAAGGGGCATCTGGCTTAAGCCTTTCCCACTCTGAGTCCCCACTTGGGGAGGACAGGCTGAGAAATGTCCCTGCACAGGCCCTGATGGTACAGCCCCAGGAGCCCAGGTTCCCTTCCACCCATATCCCTCTTCCCAGAGCGGCTTGGCAGAGGGCAGATGTGGGGATGAGTCAGGCTGAAAGGGGGAACTCAGCCATAAATGAGCAGGACCACAGCAAGCCTTCTGCTAGGACGCGTGAGCTCCTGCGGGGGCTCTGCCTGAATGGCTATCGCTTGCAAATTTCATGATCTAGGCTATGGAGATTTAATCTTGCTGGATCCACATAACCAGCAGCTGAGGGCAGAAGACCTTCAGAGAGGTGGTTCAGGATGAGGCAGGAGGTCGTGACTCCCAGCCTCTAGGGGGTGCGCAATCACATGTTTAATTCTGCCATACCTGTGGCTGGGTCTTCATCCTCCAGCTCTGCACTGAAAGGACATCCAGGATGCAGAATTGTAGACCCAGGCCTGATCTTGGGAACGCGTCTTTCCAGGTCCTCAGGAAAGGGACCTCTGGAAACTGACCCTGACTTGCCCACATGCCCCCCTCCAGGGATGCTTGGGAAAGAGAGCTCAAGTCCTGGATCTGGGGCACATTCACTCTGTGGATGCTCCCAAAGCTCCAGGGCCGCCTACCTGCTCCAGGGGGATGACAAGGAAGGAGCCGCCGCCCGCGCTCTCAGTAACGATGGCCAGGAAGCGGGCATTGACGGCACAGAAGTGGTTGTCATGTACATTCTTGGTGATGGGGATCCCGTCGAAGCAGAGCTCCCTGTTGGCCACCTTGCCGTAGACGTTCCGGAACTTGGAGCTGCGGTACTGCGGACGCCAGGACATCTGAGGGGCCAGAGAGACAGTCAGACGGGTCACTGCTTCCTGAAGACCCTGGGGACAGGGCTGCTCCTCCAGTATGCTGGAGGTGACGAGCCAGAGCGGGCAGAAGGAACAGAAGTGGCCTGGCTCAAGCTCACCATGCGACCAGCCTTGTACTACAGGACTGATTCTGAAAATACTACGGGCTGCAGGCTGGCACAAGGGCATCCACACATTGCTGCTTCGGTGACCACACCCACCCACCTTCCAGAAAGACCACAGGATCCTTAAACTACCAAGGAACGAGAAACTACCATTAATGAAGCTAGTTTTTTTTTTTTTTTTTTTTTTAAAGTAGTGAATCAATTCAAAGAAAAATATGCCAAGTGTGGTGGCACACACCTATCATCCTAGCACTCCAGGGACTGAAGTAGGGGCGTGGATGGGAGTTCCAGACCAGCCTGGGCTGCATAGCGAGGCCAGGTTTCAAAAGACACAGAAAGGAAGATGAAGGAAGAAGAAAGGAAGAAAGGCAGGCAGGCAGACAAAAAGAAAGACAAGTATGGGAGGCCTGGGGACCTGGCAGAAGTCCACTAGGAGGTGGAATTCTGGGACCCACTCTGTCTGGTCCAGGTGGAATATTCTAGAATCCACAGTTGTTGCAGGAGAGAGGTTGCTTCCTCCAACATCTGCTCCCTGGTGGTGCCTGCCAGCCTGGAGTGGCTTCCGCTCCTGTCTCTGACCAGCTGGCCTGAGCCTTCAGGCCTTGGCAGCCTCTACAGAGCCCCACACTGCCAGCAACTCACTGGGATCCTAATCCAGACCTCACCCTGGTTCTCCCCTCCCGGGTAAGAGTCTGCTCAGTGGCCACAGGAAGTGATAGCGCCTTTACAGCCCCACTGAGCTCTGAGCCTTCCTGGACCCTAGAGGCTAAGGCAGCCCAGCCAGGTACCCTGCTTGGTGGCATCCAGCATCCCTGCTTAAGGGAGACCCACTCGGGCAGGGGTACAGACTCCAAATAGCCACGTCTGGTGGCTGGGAACACTAAATCCTCTCCCTCACACCTATAGTTTCCAAAGGTCTCAGAGCTCCACCAGGATGGGTGCTACTTCTGAGCCACATAGACAGTCATACATACCTCACCCCGTTGTATACGAGCTGACACCCAGCTGCCTGCCAGGCACCTGAGCGCTCTCCTGAGCCCCTACATGAGCCACATTTATCCAGGATGCACCGGCCTATCTCTGTCTCCCCAACTCTACCCCTTTCTCCTCAGCCTGCTGCCCTTTCCTACCTTTCCTGCCCTTCCATACCTCTCCAGCTCTCAGTCCCCAGGGTGCAGCTGCAGCAGAGGTACCTGTGGCAAAGGCCCCTGGCGGGCACCCTGCCTGCTTCCCCCATCTTACTCTGTCTCCCCGGCCCAGCAGGAACCCCTGCTCTGGTCGCTGTACTCACAGCCATGCTGCCCCCTGGGGACTGGCCCAGGTGGGTCTAGAGGAGCAGGCCAGCTTCCAGGAGCAGGGGTCAATCGCCACAGCACACCCTCTGCTGGGCCTTGGAGGGGTCAGGCAGAGGCTGGGGACCCTGGGCCCTTTCCTGTCTGGCATCCATCTTCTACTCCTCCCCCTCATGTCCCCCTGTCTTTCTCCCCAGACCCCTCTTTCTTCCTTCCATTGTGGAACTACTGCCAAGGAATTTGCAAAGCTCACGACACCTGCCTTCTGAATCACACCTCATGCCTCCCCTATGAAGAAGCACAGCCTCCCACCTCAGTGCGTCGCCACAACCACATCTAAGAAAGGTGACAACAATCTCTGCAGACCATCTGCCACCCAGCCATGTTGCAATGCCCCCAAAGTGTCTTTCACAGCTACTTCAGCACCTTAACTGTGATCTGACTAGGGTTCAACACAAGGCTCATGGGTCGCATGGGATGTCACAGCCCCTGTCTTACCTCTCTCAATCCAGAACACGCATATTTTCTGGTCTTTAATTTCTTGGCTTTTTTGTTTTTTGAGATGGGGTTTGGCTATGTTGTTCAGGTTGGCTTTGAACTCACTGTGGAGCCCAGGTGGGCCTCAAACTCATGGCATTCCTCCTGCCTCAGCCTCCCCAGTGCTGGGATACACGTGTGTACTGCTACATCCAGCCGACCTCTTGTCTTTGATAATGGTGAGAAAGTCAAGAAGAGGGAATGAACAAGCAGGCCCTTGGTTGGGCTGGCGACAGAGAGGGGACATTGGCCAGTTCTACGGGTGTGTCCTGGAAGGTGGAGGACGCAGGGCGGAGGCCTGGGACACAGGTCAGGCCCTGCGCACAAGGGACCTGCTTTCCGCTGCCTGTGCCGAGCCTGAGCTCATCTGAGGTCAGGGAAGGGAAGCAAAGGTTCCTCCCTGTGCTGTCAGAGGCACCACTCCCAGGCTGCAACTGGGGGCACTGTGCACACCCCCAGGGACCTCAGTGCAGGGCCACAGAGAGAGGACCTGGAAGTGCGGCTCTTTGCTCTTTTCTTTCAAAGCCTGACTCTCAGATCTTGGTGGATTCCGTGTAGCACAGTCTAATGGAACACAAGGTCATTGCTGGTCTGTCTGTCTGCCTGTCAACCTTACAGGATCACTGAGCACAGGGTGGGCCGCCACTGAGCTCCCCCAAGGGAAGGCCTTTTGCTATGGTTAGAGCCGCCTGACATAGAAAAGGGAGGTCATGAGACTCCCGTCCCTAGGGAACTTCTGGGCTTTGGTGCCTGACCTCTGTATCCGGGCCACGTGGGATTCCACTGAGCTTTGTGGCTACAGAGCACGTGCTGGTTCTACCCACCCTAGGTGGGTCCTTTCCTCCTCCATGAACCCCACCCCTACGTGGGTGGTGGCCCAAACGATCTCTGCTCTCATATGGTGACTGCCACTTTCTGGGACATCCCCGAGCTGAGTGATGCTTGACAAAAGGAAGCTTTAGGTCTGTCCCTTTTTTTTTCTCTAGTTCTAGACCGGAAGTGCCTAGACATCCGACTTCCGGTCCCTGCAGAGCCTCTGGTGCAGGGCTCCCAGACAGCATGAGGCCCAGGGTGACGCTGGCTAGGTGACCTCTCAGTATACCACGGAGGTGCCTCCACTGTGGGGGGCTCTGGACTTCATTTGCAATGGGGCCGAGGCCCACCTACTCACCATCTCCCCCAGACACCTCCCCAGCTGCCCACGGGATAGAGCTGTGCAGACTCCATGGTCCCGCTGACAAGATGTAGCACACAAGTGCCTAATGTGAAGCTCAGAGGGGGCTAAGGGACTTCAGAATCCCAGGTGTCCCAGCGGCAGAGCCTGTTTCAGCCAAGAACTTTCGACTCCCAGTCTGACATTGCTCCCAGCATCAGACATCTCCTTTGGCCTCTCTACCCCAAGTCTTACCTCTCTCTGTTCAGTCTCTAAATCAGAGCACCACACATAGGTGTAATGAAATTGTAGTAAGCAGGCTCTGGGGAGTCAAAAATAGCCAAATGTTTCTATCTTGCCGCTGCCACTTCCTAACTGAACAACTCTACGAGTTGCTCAACCTCTCTGAGCATCCACTTCCTTATCTGTGCACTGGGAATGACCCCCAGCTCCTGGCTACAATGAGGCAGCCACCTGCGAGCTGCCTCACAAGGTACCTGGCATAGAACGGGTGTCTGCCAAACGCTGGTCCTTCCCTCGCCTTCCCTGTAAGGGCAAGGCTGTGACCTCAGAGAGTCAGGCTTGGGCTAGGCTGCACAGAGGGTCAGAAAGAGGCAGGGAGAGGCTTTGGCCCCAGATGTGCACAGCTGCAGGGCTGGCTCCCTGGCAGCCTCCCCTGGGTCCCCGCCAGCTTGGTCTCTCTCCGAGAAGAGCCTGGAAGGAAGAGGCACTCATTTCGCAGCCGAGTGGTCCTTGCAGCCTCTTAAGAAATAGAAGCTGGCTTTTCTCCCCACCCCCCCTCCGAGCTAACTGCAATGTGTGCTCCACGCGGAAGCATGTTGTATCCTGTCCTCGGCTCTCGGGGATGATTTATTGTGGCTGGCAGGGCCACCTTCTAGATGACGATAACGAAAATTTAGTCCTTTAACTGGAACACAAAACGTACATGGACAGTTGGGCTTTTTGGCTTATTTTTCCTGTTTTTGGCTCAGGTGGGGGCTTGCTTGCGGCTCTGTCTGTCCTGCCATAGGGCTGGGGAGGAGCCCCAAGGACCTCTTGGATCTGCCCTGGTGGCTGCGGCCAATACTCTCCCGGGAGAGCCCCCCCATCCTTGTCCATTGGAGAACAGCTGGCAGATCCTGGTGTCTGGTCACTTGCTGTGTGCTCTGGGACAAGCCACCTGCCTTCACCAGCGTCAGTGTCCCCTTCCCTGAAATGTGGGAGTCCATGCACTTGGGTCCTGGGAGCTTCACTGTGTGATGTGGAATGTGTGGGTGCCCCTGTCGTGGATGACTCCGTCTCAGCCACCTGACATCTTGCTCAAATTCAGAAACAAGAGTGGCTGATGTGTCCTCCGCCATCACTGAGCCAGGAAAATAGGCCTCCCGGGGAGGGACACAGGGAGAAAGCAGAAAGGAACCTTCCCAGAGTCCTCGGCTACCCGCTAGCCAGAGCTATGGGGCCTGGGGACACGAAGCTTCCACTTCCACCTCTGTGGCACAGAGGGGAATGATCTGACTCCAGTGAGCAGAAAATGACTTTCTCCGAATATCACTTGGAATTAGTCAGAAAACACCAGAGCTGTTTCCAACCTGGCTCCCGGGCAGCCAGACCTGGGCTTTCAGGATCTGGTCTGCCCACCCCGGATGGCAGCCCTAGGAGGGCAGCTGAGAGCATCTTCTAGGCCCAGGTTGAGAACCGCTGGTGTGAAGAGGCACAGCCACCCCAGAAGCTCCCTTTGTGGAGAAGCCGGACAACCGCTCCTTCTCTCCCAAGCTCGAGCTCTGGGGTGAATCCACAGGGTTTGGGCCTTGGGGATCCGGCAGTGCCAGGAGGGGCTGACTGGGCATAGCTGTGGTGCTTGGCAGGCCTAGGGTG